ATAGATAGATAGATAGATAGATAGATAGATAGATAGATAGATAGATACAGTGGGGGAAATAAGTATTTGACCCCTTGCCGATTTTGCAGGTTTGCCCACTTACAAAGAATGCTTATTTTTCCTCATCAGATGGTTATCAATTTTTATAAATTCATTCGATGTGATTTTCTGGAATTTTCTTTGGGATTCAGTCTTTCATTGTTAGAATGTACATATGATTAAAGTTATAGATTGTTGCATTCTTTGTAAGTGGGCAAACCTGCAAAATCAGCAAGGGGTCAAATACTTATTTCCCCCACTGTATGAAAAATGTTGAGGTAAAGAGGCAGAACGGAATGTAAAGCAGAGTTTGTACCCCGATATTGGAGCTTCTGAGCCCTGTTGTTAGGGCAGTCCTTGCCCTGCATGCTGAAGTTGATGTTGGTGCGGATGCATCTGTTGTTCAGCGGCTGGACGGGGCGAACGTTGTCACTCATGCTCAGGAAGATCTGAGACGGTTGGTTCTGGCTCAGCAGCCGCAAAGAGTGCATCTTAAAGATTGAAAGCAAAAAAAGGGACAGAAAGAGTGAAAGGCACTCAAGATGGATGTTGGCAGGGACATACAGTAATAGACATGTGAGCTATGCTTTCTAGACAGCGTATACCAGATCAGACAAATGTAGAGCTAAGTGAAAACGTGCTGAGATGGCATGTTTTGAGCGCCATAAATGTCTGCAGAGATTCAATCGAGTGTGTTTGTCAAAGCTTACCTGCATGCGTGTGAGGTACACCGGTTTGTTCATCAGGATCCATGTGGCTGTCTCAAAGCACGGCGGTATGGTCATTGATCCATCATATGTAATAAAACTATTTGTTTCAGGGTAAATCTCTTCTATGTTCAGTCCATTTAGAAGATATGCGTCATCTGCATAAAGAACGGGATATGAAAATGTTTTTAGATTTTTAATTGCAATTTTTTTCTATTATTGTAGTTATTTAAGAATTTCTCATAATTCAATCAATCAATCAATCAATCAATGTTTATTTATATAGCACTTTACAACAACCAGAGCTGACCAAAGTGCTATACAGTAATTAAAACAGATCAAACTATCAGAATATGCAAAATATAAAAATTCCAAAGTATATTTTGTATCCATCCAACATTTTTTTGTGCTCGCTAATTAAAATTCATGGTTGTGGAGTTAGGTGGGGGTCCTGGTGTCTATTTCGGCTGTTGGCGACTGAATTATGTGACATTTTTGTGGCACTTGCCATGTGTACATGATATATATTCACAAAAAAGGGTGCTTATTTCACAGCGACAAACACTACAGGACAAAGAAAGCAGAAAAACAATCGGGGAAAGTTAGCTATATACAGACATATTCTATTGCAATTTATTCCAGTCATGCTGCCCAGAGCAGAACATTCTCTTCTGCTCATCTCACACAACTGTACTGTCAGTTACACAAGTCTCATGCTGATTATGGGAAACGTGGCAACCCTGTTAGAAATATGACAAATCCGAACAGATTTCAGATACCCACGCATTTTTAATCTTATCACAAGCTTCTTGTTGAAGTTAATCAATTTACAGTCATTTTTACCTCAGCATCACATGAAATTGAAACATCAAATCGGTCAGACATTGTTGAAATGTTACAAATCGCATTATCAATAAGGACACTGTCACAAGTGAAATATTTTAATGGTAAATGTGGATTTCCAAGCAACGAATACAAGAATTGTCATGTAGATATTCAGTTACACTTGTACGGCCTGATTTTATATCCCTAACCAAACCTGGTACTCTCTGGATGAGGCACACTTTCACACAATCAATCTATTGTTAACTATTTATGGGTCATCAACATCAACACATGGACCAGCCTTGCATTTGGTCCAATCCCACAAGAAGATGGTCTCCACTTTGACTAAGTTCAGTCACAACAGTTAACCCTTTAAAGCCTGATCCAAGAAAAAAAAGGAAGAATATTAGATTTTTTTAGTTTGAAGTCTTTCTTTGGCCCTTCAACAACATATGAAGAAAAAAAAACAGAAATTATTTTGATCAAATTAGCATGCAATAAGTCAATAATATATTTTGGTGTAGTCTTCTACTGGCTGTTATCAGGTATATCTGAATGTGTACAACAGGGGTTTGAGAAAAGCTTTTACCACTGAATGATGCAAAAAGTCTCAGATCCAAAAGACTTCAGAAACTGTATGTATCAAATATGACACATTTGACATTATGGGGTTAAGTATTATAATCTTTGGACATGGATAAGCCATCCTCCACAATATTCATCACACACTAAGCTCATCTTTCAAAACTAATTCTCACCTCTCACAATCATATTTCTGTGTCTGCAGGCTGTCGGTGTTGCTGTAAAAATCCTTAAAAAAAAAAATCCAGACTGTTTTTAATTTCGAAACACTAATTGGACAAACTATGACTCTCTCTGTTGCTTTTTCTTTCACTCTCTTTATATTTCAGCAGATCGCTCCCAGGAACTCGTCATCCTCAGGGCCTCCATTGACAAATGGACTGCCTACATTCATAAGGTTACTGTAGGGGACCTCTGAAGCTTCAGTGCTAATTGGGCTCCACTGAATGCAACAAAGGGATATGAGTTTATCAAAGGCATAATGAGCATGAAAAGTCCCATTTCAAACCTGTGACCCCAACAACATCTCATCCGTGATCTACAAACAACAGCTAAAGAGCTGACATAAATATTTGATCGTGTGGTTGAAATTTCTGTCAATGCTCATATGTGCCTTTAAAAAGGCATTAGGCTGGCAGTGTTATTGGCTGTGAGACCCCCTGAGGACCCATGAGTGAGAGTGTGCAGTATTTGACTGTGTATAAATGTGTTTTTGAGTCATATGTATAAAACGGTTGACAGCTGTAGGAATTCTTGGTCCTTTGCAGTTCGTTTGACTGGACCTAGAGAGATCCTCTTAAACCCTCAACAACATCACTGTGAAACCTTCTGCTCCACCCATTTCCTCTGGGAATTCCTCTTCTTTTTTCCACCAGAAGGGGGGTCAGCGTGTTTAAAAATTCCCCACCCCGCCAGTTATTTCTCTCATTTTTCAAGCTAGCCTCAAGTAATCGCTGCATTGGCAGAGTACGGTCTCTGGAGAGCAGCAGTCAATTTCTGCTGAGAAAAACCTCCTCCGGCTATTACAAGTTCCCCATAAGTCTGTCTTCTCCAACCCGCAGCAAGTCATCATTTAGCATTCTGAAAATAAAACAATGGCGCTTTGAGAATTGCTTACTGAAACTGGTGTTGCCAATTTAGTGTCAAAGTCTCTAAACATAAATACAATTCTTTGGGTTATGTCCACTAAAAAGAGGCAGAGCTTTAGCTCCCAGTATTCCTAGAGAACTGAGTACTGGGATAGTGCTCATACTGAAAAATACCTGCCTCTATTTAGATTTTCTTTTTTCAAACCTAATATTTGTGCTAAGATTTATCATTGTTGTCAGAGCAATATTCAGATATCAGAGGTATAAAAAGAAATTGGAGGGATCCCAAAATAAATAAAATCATCAATATTTAAGAAGCATGAAAAGGTAGCTGAATACTGTATATTCTCTACAGATTTGAATCAGGAAGTACATTTGGACATGAAAAGCAGACATAATGCACTATACTCACGAAAAGTGAGTTAAATATAATAGTATACGCGCAATCGTAGGACTGTACACGAGGCTGAAAACGACCGTCCCTATACACCTCACAGGGGCCTGTGATTACACCGTTTTGTTTTTTGTAGGAAGAATCCAAAAGCTGAATCCTCATGCACTAAGAATTCTTTATGGTTACCTTACGTTCTCCAGTCAGAAACTGTATTTGATCGTCCTATACCTTAAAACGTATCATGACAACCCCCATTATTTTCACTTTGTCTTCAAACAAGACACACACATTACACACACAGTGCAAACATTTGTCATAGTTGTTAAAATGGCCATAATTCAAGAAAAAAACCAGGCCAGCTAATTGTATTTTGTCATCACAGTGTCCTTATATGAATACAAGATAAACAAACCTCTAAATATAATTCTAGGAAACTTGATAAATCTCTACTTGGCTTACAATGATAGTGACAAATAGAACTAGCTGAGATCAAAATATACAGAATAAATTATTAGATAGCTGCTTAATTGGTATATAATTTCCATGGACGCCTGGCAGGATATTCATTTCACCAGTGAAAGACATATTTTTAATCGATGGAGCTCAGTAGATTTGAAACAATATTTGTATTGCGTCCTCCAACCACTAGTCACCTCACAAGAGCAATTTACGCGTTGGATTTCATTTTCAATCTTCCTTTAGAGAGAAAAACATATGACCTAGCTAACCAGAAACTGTAAACCGGCCTATGCAACATTAGACGATCAGATTTTTAAACTTCTGACTTAATTAGGATAATCTTGAAATTGAGTGGAAGAAAAGTGCTTGCAAGAGATTGTCTCACATTCCTAGTTGAGAATTTCCTTGAAATTCTTCATTCTTTTCCCTGAAATTCTTAACTGGCCTCGTTGTGTATCAAAATGGTTTAGGAAACGGTTTAGCAAAACTGAAGAGAAATGTATTTAGTGGAGAGATAAAGAACCTCAGAGTGACTGACGTAGAGCATCCCTGTTACTATAGTAACACCCTCTTAGCTTGCCTGCCAGTGCACTGTGTGAGATGAGAGGGGGAGCCTGTGTTGCTCTGTGCAGCATGACTGGAATAAACTGCAACTGAATAGATCTGTGGATATACCCACAACCTCTCCTGGTCGTTTTGCTGCTGTTGTTGTGCTGTAGTATTTTCCCCTGTGATGTAAGCATCCTTTATTTTGTGGATATATGACATGTATGGATGGCAAGTGCCACAGAAATATCAGTTGCACAAGTCTGATGCCCCCCGTAATTTAACATATCTCTGTTGTCCAAGGATTTATTCTTTTAACTTGACTGTTGAAGCATTGCAGCCATCATGTGCATCTATCAACCATATATTTATATTTGACAACAGAATTTGGTAAATATTTTGTCCCCCCTTATGGTCATTACAAGTTACAACTGTCACAAAAAAACAATCTTAAATAAATGTTTAGATGTACCCATGAATTAATTGACACATTAAAGAAACCATGAAAATGCTGTCAAAAGCTCCCAAAAATCTCAATGCAAAAATGCAAAATTATCATGCAAGACTGGAAACCAAAACCACAAACTCAGAAATGTGAAGGTCATAGTACTTCAAAATAAGTCAGAGGCATGTGGTTTTAAGATAAAAAGAACCCAACCTTTAATGCTCCTTTAGGCTGTGATGTACAGGCGACTTGTCAGAAATGTACAGTGACATCTGGCATAGGCTCAGGCTTAGATTAACAAACAGAGTCAATCTTATTGTAAACAGAGAAAAAGAAGAAGAAAACAAAGGAAAAAAAGGGAAAAAAAATTAAAACAGGAAAAAAAAAGAAAAAAAGAGAAAGAAAGGAGAAAAAAGAGAGAAAAAAGAAAAAAAGGAAAAAAACTGTGAAAAAAGAAAGGAAAAAAAAGGAAAAAAGAAACAAAAAAGAGAAAAAAAAGAAAAAAAGAGAAAAAACAGGAAAAAAAGAGAAAAAAAGAAAAAAAAGAGAAAAAAAGGAAAGAGAAAGAAAAAAAAAACAGAGAAAAAGTAGGTCAGCTGTTCAAAACTGCTCAAAAGTTGCCCGAACAGTCCCAAAGCAACCACCATGCACATAGTGTGTGTCAGCTGTAAGGAGCCCCTTCCTAAAGCTGCCCCGGGAATGCTTCTTGGAGGGAGTAGGTGTGCCACATTACTAGACTAAAGGTTACAAAGAACTTCTGTCCACCTCTGGATAAACTCACGGACCATTTGAGTCAAATGATTGTGCTCAAAAACTTTGGAAAAGGTTTGTTGTGCCTGAAACTGATTAGTAGAAATGTTTGGAATTTCGATGCGCCCACTTACTTTTGTATGTTATTCTCGTGATGGTGTCTCTGTTCAGCATTCGATTCAGGAAGGAGTTTGATGTTTCAGCAATCTGGACAGAGAGAAATAGACAAGAGAAAGAAAAAATGAGAGGTTATATGAGTGCATACTGAATTGAGAGCCAAGCTAAAATTAAACTAAATTTAATCCACTCAGGATTTAATCTACTCAGGAGAGTACTCATAAGGATAATGCCACATTTTTGTTTCAATCTATTGTCTTTACAGCCTGTGAAATCTTGAAACCCACTGATGTATTTGTTTTATAGTGAAGAACTCCTTCACCATCTTCTGATGTCGTGTTGCCTTCTTGAAAACAAAGGCTCCAAATGTTTTCAGTAAATCAAATATTTTCATCTCACAGACACATACTGCTTTGAACCCAAAACACAATCCATCTTTTTAAATAGCAAGCACTTTTCATTTTTACCCTGACATGACTGTATAATGGCAAAAGATGGTCTATTTTATGAGATGACTGTGACAGGATCACCACAGTGACTTACCCGTATGTTTTATTTTGTGTTTATTTGTCTCTTTAATCTAGTTTAAATGATAAATATGGACTATTTCAGTAAGTTTAATTTATTTGATGGTATTTTTACGTTTCTTTTGTATTGCTGGTAGTGCATTTCGTAACCTCCTAAAATGTGTAAGTAGTAGAAGTTTTAAAGCAAGCTTCCTTTCCAGGCCCATGTGATCACATCCAAATATGAATTATGAACTTTATTACTGTGACCTTGAAAATGTTTAATTCAGATGAAAAATGAACCAAAAACATTGAAAGTGCTTGGTTACAATCAGTCAATAATAACACGATTGTAAAGTTGATCGTTGTAAAATATCTTGCCATACAGCTGTCCTGTCATCTGAAATGGAGGGCGTGTGATACATAAGCTCAGAAGCTGCGGTTCCATTACAGATTTGGACTATTTGGTGATAGGACTGACATCATTTGGATATCTTACACTGCTAGCATAGTTAGATTGGGCCTGGGAGGTTGGTTCCGGACTCTTATTACCTAACAAAAAATAAAAAATGAAAAATCTAAACTGAGAACACATTGAAAAACCTCAACGAAAATGGTAAGATGATAACATGGGCTACCTTTCACTTGAATCTTTATGTTTATGCTTTTAGCAGATGCTTTAATCCAAAGCGACTTACACTGCAGATACAACATTATTATTAACATCAGCTTTACAGTAAGGAACATAGAAAGAACTAGCTAGTCAAACTCTGTTAGAAGCAACTGTGGTAACAATGTGGATATAGAGGGAAGTACAGAAAGTAAGAGTTAGGGTAGGGGATGCTTTCCAAAGAGCTGGGTCTTCAAGAGTTTCTGTTCTTGTAGTGCTTGGTCATTCCACCACCATGTTACGATCCATCACAAGAATTGGTATTGTCTTAAGCTTGGTGTCAGCACTGCTAGAAAACAATCCAATGCTGACCAGAGTGGCTGAGTTGCGACAATAATTAAATCACCTCTGATGGTCAAGCTCACATTCTGTAGTGACTATTTTTTGTTGAAAAACAAAAAAATTACTTAATTGATCCACCTGAAGGTACAACTCAAATAGTCACTTAGTGTAATTTGGTTTCTCGTTTCATGCGGTACAAAAAAGGTTCCAACAGTCAAAATGCAGTTCCTTAATACATTTTATTCCAAAATTGGCAGGCAAACAACCAAAACACATTCTCTGGATTTTGCTTTTTTTGCTCCCTCCTTTCATCTGCTGTCTCCGCTACTCACTTCTCTATTTGCTTCACCTGCTTCACCAGCATGCTTGCAGACTGGTTGACTGATTGACTACCTGACTGACCGTCTGACTAACCAACTGTTTGACAAACCAACTGTTTGACAAACCAACTGTCTGGCTGGTGAAAAAAAAATATATGACCACCGATGCGCACACAGAACTGCCTAAATCCTATATATTGATGTGTGAAATGCCTATATCCCAAACAAAATAAATATTTAAACTAAGCAAATTACAAAGCTACAAATATAGTCTAAAAAAAAAAAAAGTACCAAAAATAAACAAACAAAAAAAAACTAATTTAAATTAACAGAAAAAAAAGAAATAAGTCCTAGACATACATTATGACTCACATCCTGCTCTGAATTTGACCAGTGATGAGTTTCACAGTACAGACTGAAAGTGCAAAACCAGCAGCTTGAGGCTTGTATTAATTAACATGTCCTTCCCACTACTTAAGCCCATCCATCCATCCATTTTCCGCCGCTTATCCGGGGTCAGGTCGCGGGGGCAGCATTTGAAGCAGGGAAACCCAGACTTCCCTCTCCCCTGCCACTTCTGCCAGCTCTTCCGGGGGGATCCCGAGGCTTTCCCAGGCCAGCCGAGACACATAGTCCCTCCAGCGTGTCCTGGGTCTTCCTCTGGGCCTCCTCCTGGTGGGACGTGCCCGAAACACCTCACCAGGGAGGCGAACAGGAGGCATCCTAATCAGATGCCCGAGCCACATCAACTGGCTCCTCTTGACGTGGAGGAGCAGCGGCTCTACTCTAAGCCCCTCCCGGATGGCCGAGCTTCTCACCCTATCTGTTTATGTTTATGTTTATGCATTTATGCATCTCATCACTATGACAATAAGCTATCCAGAGGAGAAACACTGATCAGAGTCAGTGGTGAGATAGAGATAGAGGTAGAGGGACCACAGAAGGAGCTGTTGGGGGGTAGAGATACGGGTTAGGGTTAGGATAGGAGATGCTCTTTGAAGAGGTGGGTCTTCAAGAGTTTCTTGAAGACAGACAGGGACTCTGCTGTTCTTGTGGCGCTTGGTAGGTCGTTCCACCATCTTGGAACGACACATGCAAACAGTCTGGATTGTCTTAAGCGTGGTGAAGGCACTGCTAGACGACAATCCATTGATGACCGGAGTGATCGAGTTGTGACATAAGCATTTGCAAGGGGATTCAAGTAGATGGGAGCCGTACCCTTAAGCACTTTGTAGGCTAGCATCAGGGACTTGGATTTGATACGGGCAGCCAGAGGTAACCAATGGAGTTCAATGAACAGAGGGGTGACGTGAGATTTTTTGGGCTGATTGAAGACCAGACGCGCAGCCGCGTTCTGGATCATTTGTAAAGGTTTTACTGTACAGGCTGGGAGACCGGTCAGGAGTGCGTTGCAATAGTCTAGGCGGGAGATGACCATAGACTGCACCAGGAGCTGGGTAGCATGTTGTGTTAGGTATGGCCGGATATTTCTTATGTTAAGTAATGCGAAGCGACAGGATCGAGAAACAGAGGCAACATGATCTTTAAAGGTCAGCTGGTCATCAATCATGACAACCAAGTTTCTTGCTGCCTTTGATGGAGTCAGAGAGAGGGATTCAGTTTGGATGTGAATATTGTGGTGAATAGTTGGTTTGGCTGGAAAGACAAGCAGGGAGAGCCCAGCCACCCTGTGGAGGAAACAAATTTCGGCCGCTTCTATCCGGGATCTCGTTCTTTCGGTCACTACCCAAAGTTTGTGACCATAAATGAGGGTGGGAACGTAGATCGAGTGATAAATTGAGTTCTTCGCCTTTAAGCTCAGCTCTCTCTTCATCACGACAGACCGGTACAGCGCCCGCATTACTGCAAACGTCGCACCGATCCGCCTATCGATCTCACGCTCCCTACCCCCATTCGCGAGCAAGACCCCGGGGTACTTGAACTCCTCCACATGGGGAAAGACGTCCCCCCTGAGCCGTTGAAGGCTCTCTACCCTTTTCCGCTGAGAGACCATGGTCTCTGACTTGGAGGCACTGATCCTCAACAGGATCACATCATCTGCAAAGAGCAGAGAAGTAATCCTAAGGCCCCTAAGACGAACACCCTCGACACCTCGGCTGCGCCTAGAAATCCTGTCCATAAAAGTCATGAACAGAACCGGAGACATAGGGTAACCTTGGCGGAGTCCAACTCTCAACGCAAACGGATCCGACTTACTACCGGCAATGCGAACCAAGCTCTGACTCTGGTCGTACAGGGTGAGAACAGCCCGTAACAAAGGGCCCGGTACCCCATACTGCTGGAGCACCCCCCACAGGATACCCCAAGTGACACGGTCAAACACCTACTCCAAGTCTACAAAACACATGTGGACTGGTTGAGCGAACTCCCTTGCACCCTTAAGGACCCGGACCCCCGACCCAGGACCAGGACGACAACCACACTGTTCCACCTGAATCCGAGATTCGACTATCCGACGGACCCTCCTCTCCAGAACCGCTGAATAGACCTTCCTAGGGAGGCTTAAGGGTGCGATCTCCCTATAGTTAGAAAACATCCTTCGGTCCCGCTTTTTAAATAGGGAGACCACCACCCCAGTCTGCCAATCCAGCGCAACTGCCCCTGATGTCCCCGCGATGTCGCAGAGCCGCGTTAGCCAACGCAGCCCCAAAACAACCAGAGCCTTGAGGAACTCCGGACGAATCTGATCCACCCCCGGAGCCTCATTTTACAAAGTACCTTAATTAAAAAGTCTTTCTTTTCAATGTTGTTTGGTTGTTTGCTTTTCTGCAGCAAAAAAGCACTTTCACTAAAGAAAATTTTGACTTCAGCCAATTATAAAACCCTTTCAGATTCAAGCAAATCCAACTCATATAATTGTATGACCTAAAGAACTTTCTTGTTAATACTGCAATGTCTATTTCAACAACGTCGCCTCTTCCTTACATGATGGATGATCACCAAGTCAAATACCAATGATGGTCTCCGATGTATAGCAAAAACGTATATAATCAACTAATTTTGGATGATGCCAAACAGGCCTGCCCTATCTAGAATGGTACAGTTGTCAAATACATCCACTCCTCTGTTTAGAGGACTCAAGTTTTGAAGTTGACACGCCCAGTGTGTCAAACTCTGCCTTCCTTTTCCTTCACGTTCCTGTCTGGAGCAACGTTTTATATTTCTGTGGATTCTGAATAAGGAAACAAAAAACAGAAACCTGCGATCACTGTCAAAAAACAAAAATTTGGCAACAACAGAAAATATTATTATGGAGGACCTTAATTTCCCAAGTTTGCTTAATGGGAGCATTGCTCAATTAAATCTGGGAAGTGATGAGCAGTTGCTAACTCTCAAAAATGCTTGTTATGAACTGAAGGGAACTCAGGTCCTTTGTTCTCTCCTTTTTTCCTTCCTCACCATTCCATCTATCACTCAAAACTGGAGGACCTTACAACTCCAACTGTCAAAATGTCTTAGGGCAAAGTGATTAAAACAAGATGTTCTTGTTCTCCCCCTACCCCCACAGTAAAGAAACTACTTAATTCCTGACCTTATCCCTGTGCTCCTTTGCCTGACATAATTCTTGAACATCCACTCAACCTGCTCATTGGCTTTCTTATGCTCCATTTATCTTATTCAACTTAAAGATGCACCTATGAGGATTCAGTTATCCTTCCTGTTCTTTTCTAAAATGTCTTTACATTAACTGTGAGACAAAACTGACTTAGAGTGAGGATCTGGCACATAAAACATTGAGAAAATTCTGATGATTTCTTGCTCATAAAAAAAAATCCAAGGTATCATAAAGCCCTGCCCTGAAAACAAAACCCTGTATCAGTGTCATGTCATGTTACTCTCCAGACACTGAAATAGTGGCTACACAATGTTCTGTTCTCAGTGGTGCCTTATGACTCAAACACTCTCCTGGCAAACATCTGACAAGGACTGAAAAGGTCTGAGTCACTCATAAGTGAGGAAAAAATTAGCTTCTGTAAAAGATTTGGCTAATTACCACTCTGTGAAGAAAATGAGTGGGTTATACATGCTTAACACAGTGGGAGTGGAGAAATACTTGCTGGGGGCGGGGGGGGGGGGGGGTATTGACTGCACTGAGTGGGTCTATGAGTGTTCGTCTGATGTTGAAATAAGATTTCCTCGAATGGCACATCTCTTTAGTATTTTCAAAATGGGAGCACTGATGTAAATGTATTTAGACCAAATTGTACCATGACGCGTCACACTGTTCGTCAAAAATCAACTATGACGCAAAACGAAAAGGGATTGATGAAGCGATATTGTTCCAAAAGCCAAAAAGTTGCCTGATGTAGGCTCAAAGATAAAAATATTACGAATGGCAAATTGTTTAGAGGCAAGGCAAAGGTGTAAGAAATATTCCCCCCTCCGGAATGCCGATGAAGTCATGAATATATTTGGAAAATGGAATAAAATTGAGATGGTATTAGTCAGGGCACATATGTAGCCACCATCTTAGTGATTGAACTTGAATGTCTGAACTTAAATGGCCCTAAGAATACTTTTTCCATTCAACTGATTGCATTGAATAAACAAAATGAAATTGTGAAATTTAAATCAATTCCCATTTAGGTCCAGATAAAACAGCATAAATGTATTTATTTTCTTAAATCAAACAGTCAAATTCTGATTTCTTGTACCACAAGACAGTTTCCTCTTCAAAACTGTCATCATATAATAATTTCATGTTTTTAATGCAGAGTTGCCTGAGGGTCAAAGGATCAAAGACATTCAATTTTGGTATTCTGTTTGAGTCTTACATACTGAGAATTTCTTGTTATTTTTTTCCTACCATATCTGATGAAATTCAGAAATCCTCCGCACTTCTGTTTTTCTTTCTTTCGCCAAGCAAACTTGAGAGTCTTGAATTAAGTTTTTAATTGTCTTTGGGGTTGGTATCATTCATTCAAGCACATTTTCCATTTTTATTGTTATAGCCTTTTTATTCTAATCTGCCTGAAAGTGTCTGGAGTGCATGAGAAATGCTAGTGAACTTAAATTGTATAATTAGTACTTTCTATCATTCCCTGATGCACTTTTCGACTCTGGGAGCTAAAACCACACAGTAGTGCAGAACTGTTCCAGGGTCATTTCCTCAGGCTGTCACCCACAAAAGCCACACCTGCAGCGCTCCACTTTCCAAAGCTCGTCTCTCAGATTTTTACTCCCACACACTCTCCCGTTGGAGAGGAAGTCAAGGAGGGCTGACCTGGGTCATAATTTTTTCTGTCTCTTCAAGACTGACTGATGGGCCCATTGACATTGGGGAGCTCATTAGCAGTTAGCGGCTGAACTTTTCAGCCTTTTGTGCTCGCGGTGGCGAGGACGCGGGCTGCCTTTCTGATCTCCCAGCCTCTCGTTCAAGATGGAGATATTTCAAAACAACAAAGAGACAGTGGAGGGGTTGTCATCAGCCTGACAGTGGTGCTCAGCGCTGACACAGATCCGATGAGCACATTGCTTTTCTCTGCTGGAAAATTTGATGGCTAATTGTTTTTGAATTGTGAGCTCTTGGGAGTGGAGGGCTGGCAGCATTGCTTCTAAATCTTTGTTATTTTCGGATGGAGAAAAGTATATTTCTATTCATATTTCAAATTACCTAGTTCTTCTCGAATAAAACTTGATAAGATACATGTGTCACATTATTTTTAGCAAATGTGAGACAGCTTTAAAATAAATTGACATGATATTGTTGTAGGATATGCACCAATTGATTGTTATGGCTGTTTTATCTACCATTTAAAACTTTTTTTCTGTTTTTGGCTAACTAATTTTAGTTCTTTAGACATTTTACTCTTAAAAAAACAAAACAAATCATGATCAACATCTGTGTTTTACTTTTGCATATTTAAAAAAAATAAAACTATCTACTTACACGTTTAGTTTCTAAGCGCCTAAAGGTCTTTGCGCACAAAATATATAAAGAATTGATGTTTTGTTTCTGTCTTTTAATTTCCCACGGAAGATAATGTTTTAGTATTGTGCTGTGTCATCTAGCCTTGCCCACATGTCTGGAAGGTCTATCAGTGTATGGATGAAATATTTGTAATTATGTAAACTGAAACGTGAAGTATGAGCGTCCAAATGAATGTGGCACGTTGTGTAAAAGTTCTTTGAGTGGTCAGCTAAAATGGAGTACAGTCCATTAAAAATGCATCATTCTCCCTGATATCTCTGATATTCTGCTCTGTAAGTTGTAAAATAAGAATGTGTTATACCAAAAGCTTTTTAAAATTCTTTGACTTTTAAAGTAAGATGAAGTATGAACTTATATTACCATGAAGAAGAATTCATAATGTATTTTAATTGTAATGAAACTTTTTAGTGAGTGTTGTATCAGATTGTGGGCTGAGGCCAGAAATGGAAATCTCTGTTAAAACAGAAGTACTGCTTTTGATGGGGAACTTGGCTAGTAACTTAAACTTCCCTTCAGACGTTTATTATTTGCATTTTCAATACAGCCTAAAGGGGTAGTTTGATAAATTTGGCAAGAAAAATAAAATGTTCAGATATTTGCACAGATCTATGCATGGCCTGTCAAGTGTGTTTTATAATGAATTGCTGGGATTTCACTATCACATTTCATGGTTCATGACACTATGTAATGTAGTCTCATATGTAAACATATTAGTCTCATATTAGGCTTATATTGAGTCATTTATATGATAAATTACATATACATAAATTCAGTTGTGCAAAAGACAAAACTCTCCACTACATTTATGCAAAATTCAGGGCAAAGATTAGACATTCTGGATTACTAAAACAAATTTGTTCCGTAATAAAAGTGATTTTGAAGAATACAGTTTGCTTTGTACTTTGGCATTGATCATTTGTCACTATTCATTACTACTTCAATGATTGCATATTTCTTTATCTTGTTACAAATCTCTTTTGTATTCATCTGAGCTAATATTGTAAAACACAAACAAACCACAGAATTCTTAATATTCATTAACTATTAGGATAGCAGTCTTGTTATAGCTGGTAACCTAATAATTGTGGGAAGTTTCACTGCAACACAGACAACAACAATATGAAGCTTTTTGAAGTAAAATGCATTTTATTGAGTATTTGCAATGTCTTAATCTGTTTTCTTAAACGTAACCAATAACATTTATTGTCCTAGGATGTAGACTTAGGTATAGGACCTCTCATTTCCCCCTTTCTCATCTGAAACATATTGTACATTAGTAATTTTCTGTCTATATGTTGCATTGATAGAGGTATCGGTATGTGGTGAGTTCAAAAAGAGAATTCATTTGGATAGATTTCCATTTTGACCATTTGTCACTCCATTTCAGTGGTTCCATACCCATGCATACGTTCTAATTAATTGAGACTGTGCTATAAAATATCACGTCTGCTGGGAAAAAGTCTTATTTTTCCTGTTGAAAGTATAATTACTTTTCTGCTTCCTGCCTCTGTCATTCGTCATTCTTATGTCAGTGTAATGTTTCCTTGAGGATTAAATATGTTCCAGTGGAAAGTAGAGAGCTACTAACTTAAATTGACTTTAAGGTAGAAAACCTTTATCTAAAGAAACTACATTTGATTTTAAAGTGATAACACAAAAAACACATCTCATGCCATCAGCTGCTTGACTAAATAATACCAAAATAAAATCTATAAGATCAACCTTGATAATCATAATTATTAAAAGAATACATAAGACTTACCTTCATGAATATTGACACTATGACCAGTCCGTTGGGACTTTTTGCAGCCTCTGTGTAATCTGTATACAGTTCATGATTGTAGTGAATCAGTTGAACCTGAAACACAAAGAAAACACGGCCCGAATTACCAAAAGGCATTCATCAATATGATACTTTGAGCTGAAAACATCATCCAATTACCTTGTATCAAGATTCCCTAGCACACATAAATCCTTCCTTCTGGCTACATCATTTTAGATGAGCTAAAAGGGAAAAATCAATATGGGATCATATTTCTTCCAAGGATTCTCTCAGGTAGTCAATGTAATGGAAGAAGCTGATGTTCAGGGCATCTTTATACTTGGTGTGGATGTGAAGGAAAAGGCATAAGAGGGACATAAAGAGGAAAGGATTTTGTCATTATCTGGTCCAAGGCCAGACTTCTCACACAGGCCGAGTTGAGAGTGGCTAAAACGATCTCCGAACATATGTTTAATATTTCACGAGCACAAATGTCTCATTCTATCCAGCTGTTAAATATTCCTGCCTTTTAATGAGGCGCATGTCGGTATGGACGGGTGCTCAAATTCCACCTTATAAAAAGGGGGAAACCGCTGAAAAAGGAGTATGTGGTTTTAAAGTCTGATCTAACAAAGATGAAAGCCAATAAAAATGACTCCATCTGGAATATGTGGAGTTTACGAGAAATATGAAATTAATACATTTCCTAAAGCTTTTGATGAAAAGAGGTGTAAATGGCAGGGATTTGAGTATTTATATATATATATATATATACCCCCACACACACATATGTGTATATATATATATATATATATGAATACAAATGTATATATTGATACACATAGGATTTGAATACACCTGTTCTTGTTTTCTAGTTTAGCATAACAAGCCAAGCTAAACAAATCCGTTTCAGACAAACTGACCATAGAGAACTGCCATTAGTAAATGGAAAAGAGAACGAACAAACAAAAAACATGATCATGAACCAGTGCGACACTCTCCTGACATAGCCCTACAGGAAATGATTGCTATTCCTCATTATTCTAATCAGCAAACTGCCTAATTTGATGCCTGGAATTAATTGCCCCTAAGCTGCAACACTGCAACATCACAATATTCTATTAGTAATAAGCGAAATGAGATGCTATGAATATTTCAAATACAAAGGGGTGGTAATGCTTTTCGGATCTCTCTCAAAGGCTCTCAGCTTTTCACTCCTCACCTCCATAATCTTCTCATCCTCCCTCATTGGCAAAGAGTTTGGCAGGTACTGTACAGGCAGATATAAATAAACAAATGTAAGAAGAGAGCAATTATGAAATGCTCAACTGGGGGAGTGGAGACTGACAGAATGTCTATAAATGCAATCAAGGGGAGTGAGGAAGTGATTAGGGCCCTACGCTGATCTGATTAGATTTTTACAGAAGAGTATCAGATACAGCCAGAAGAATCCAAGCGGCCTCCCTCAGTGACAAATTGCACACAGTTTGCTGCTGGTGGGCAATAAAAGGCCAGCATGGTCCATAATAAAGTGAGAATGTCTGCCAAATGGAGTGGAAAGAGAAGAGGGAAATGAAGCAGAGGAGGGAGAAAATAAAGGATAGAGGCGTTAATTAGATACAGAAACAGTTAAAATAGAGAGAGAGGAGAATAGCTGCTATTTTTTGGCTAGGCCGGTGGGCCTAGAAAAACACAAATCTTTATATTACAGTGGTCTTCTGTTCAGCATGGAACTTGCAGTAAATGCTGAAATCGGTAATAGTACCATTTAACAGGTACAGTGTATTCAGATGTTGAACAAAACAATATCCCTGATATTTTTTTATCTTATACAAAAAGATTCTGCCATATGTGAGAAAAAAGAGTTAGTAATTTCTATGATTACAGTGGTAATTTTTCAATAATTTTGATTCCACCACTTTCTACAAAAGGTAAATGGGAATCATAAGTGTTTCTGGGGGATATTAATATATAAAAGAGTGATGTGTGTCTATTTTCTCGTACCATCTTTAATTCATTCATTTATTTAATTTCGCACCCAGTCTTAAGGACCAGACAAAGTCCTTAAAAGTTCCTCACAAATTAGGGAACCACATAGGTGAGGAAGAAATGAAGATGTGTCAGACTTAAAGAAAATACAGAAGATGAACAGTGTCAAAAAGTGATGTTGAATTGAATTGAATTGAATATACTTTATTGATCTCGAGGGAGAAATTGACTAAATCCTTGAGAAAGAATAAAAAAATCCAGCAAAGACTTTGGGAGGGTACTATAAACCTTCCTTTGACCAAAGCCTCTTCAATAAAGCTTCATCAGAAATGGCCGCTATGGATGGGTGACTGTCAAAAAAAGCTATTGTTAACGAAAGAAAACACTGGGAAAGACCAGGTGCATTCCAAGTGACAGAAGAACTGAACTGAAAATAGCTTGCAACAGATCCTATGAGGAGAAGATATTTTTTTCTCTAAAGTCTGTCCTCCAAAACGCTAACAACAGTAATGATGCTAGACATTTACTGGATTCTGATAAATTCAAAGTTACGGTACACAAAATGCCAAAAAGGGAAAAATCTGTCAGGGTAAAAAATAGTTACAGCTGCACCGCTACATCTTCATTATTTTACATTTAGTTTAACTTAATCACAAAGTAGATATTTGTCCATTTAGACTTCTGTCTTTTCCATTGCAAATCGCAGCAAAACACCAGAGCATGTGTTTGCATAAATCAAAAGCATACAGAGAACTCTGTGAATATCATAAGATAATTCAGGCTGTCTTAAGTCTTAAGATTCCTAGCATAGGGAATAAATATTGCTGTACCCAAAGTATACCAACAAGTATCAAATTATTACCAGTCTGGGCCATATCAGCAGATTAACAGATTCTTAAAAAACACCTAGAAGAATTTAAAAAAGCACATAGTTTTAGTATTTCCAATTTTAGTAAAGGCACAGTTTTGGATAGAAAAACAATAGTTATGTGTTTTAGGTATTGTGAGCATAACTACAATTTTTTGTAGTGTGATAAAAGAATCTAAAATTGTTCAAATAACAGAATGTTGTTATCAATGCTGTATTGGCTATGTACTTGCTATGTACTACAATGTTGTAAAAGATGTACTTATCTGAACACACACATGCAATACCACCTCACTTAAGTGTTTAAAAGGATGTTATATATTAGTGGAGACATTCTGATGTGGGTTTGAAACGCTCTGGAATAAGATTTGTTCCCTTAAAATGAAAACAAAAGAAAAAAGAACATTAGAACGATCACTTTAGAATTTATTTGAAAATCAGATGATCTTCTGAACCTTATGAACTATGACGTTTTCACAGGAGTCTCTCAACAGCTTGATAAAAGAAAAAGAACCATTTTGAGGTGAGACACAAACCAAAACCCCCCATTTCCAGAGACATCGGACATATTTGTTCCTTTCACTGGAATGGAAAACCGCCTCTTGAAGCTGTATGCATCTGCACACGAATGAGAAATCTGTTAACACCTACCAATAGACTTTTGTTCTTCCAGTGTTCTGCTGAATGGTGTTCAATAACCTAAAAATGATGTCATTGGCCTGTCTGGCAACGGTGTGCACTTTGATAATTCAAACATTTTATTCTTTTTTTCTGGGGGTATTTATGAAACTAATTAATCTTCATAGTGAATAGGCTTATTTTAAAAGCTGCTAATCTAAATCTACAAGGCAGAATATTTCAGTGCGTGCCAGATTCAGCAAATCTTGTTCATAGGCTGATTAAGCGGGTTTGCATATTTGCTCAGAGTTAGAAATTTGTACTAATTTACATCGCTGGAGTAAATTGTTTCGGTTCACTGTTTGACATTTTTCATCTCTTCAGTATTCTGGTTTGTGCACAATGTGTGCTACATGTTCCCCTTGTTGATGTCAATTAGCAGAGAAAATGTGTCAATAAGGTATAAAGCTTTTGATCAAAAGCTCATAAAGATGTTGTTTGAACATAGAAGTCAATGAAACTCTATCAACCAATATTTCATTTCCAGAATCTCCCAAAAAATTGCATGGGCACTTTTACACATATTAACCAACATTTTTCTCAATGTTGATGTCACTCAGACCTTTGATAACTCTGTTAGAGTTCTTTTGGAAATGTAAAGTTAATTTTGATTACCTCTGTTGAGTGAAAAAAAAAAATCAAATTTAATATGCTATCTTTAGAGATCGTGGAAAATTGCTATATAATGCAGCATGATTATCCCTTTAAAGCCTGATACAAGAATAAAACAAAACAGAAATGTACTTTTTTGGGTTTGAATTTCTTATTTTACCTTTTAACAAATTATGTAAAAAGAAACAACAGAAATACATTTTTTATATTAATAATTTATTACTATGCGATAAGTCAAGATTATTTTTGTGTAGTCTTCTGCCCCCTGTAATCAGGTATATCTGATTGTGTGAAATAGGATTTTAAGCAGAGGTTTTACCATTAAATTATGCAAAAGATGTCAGACGCAAAACATTTCAGAAACCATATGTTTCAAATATGATACATTTGGCATTACAGGGTTAAGTTAAGTTTTGGGATCAATGTTTTTCTAACCACAAGTAGCAAACCATTTGTTTTTAGAACAAGTTTGTTTAGATACTGTTAGTTAATTTTAGATTTGTCTTCTTTATTAAGCTTTCCCTTCTCTCTTTCTTTCTCTATGAGAAGTTGGCTCCAGACACCAATACCTTTGTAAATCTGTTTGCTAAGTATGCTACATTACAATGTTGTTCGCTTTTTCAACACATTAAATTGTGATCACGTAACAGGACGCTCGCATTTTCACATCAGAAGTAACTGGCTGATGACATTCATTTGCAAAATTCAGCCTTTTATACGAGGTGTCCCCAACCCAAGAAGATATCTGTGAATTTCAAACAGAAATAAGCTTGTAAGCTGTCATACTTTACTTATGACCTGAATAAATCCCACATTTCACTAGGGCAACTAGGACAACTTCTCTGGCCTGTTCTTAGGCTTCCGACAAAAGAACTGGGCTAAGATTAATTTGAAATCAGATCTAGCTTGACCGCTGTGAATAGGGCATCTGAGAACAAATGAACGACCG